ATATATATATATATATATATATATTAATAAGTATGTCTGGGTGACTAACCCCCTGAGTACTAGACAGGATGCATAGAAAAGCTGTATAATGCTGAGCTGTGCAGCCCACTAGGAGCCTCAGAAAGAATCAATTGCTTACATAACACAAAAAAGTGTTTTTGTGAAACCTAAAAATAAACATTTGTTTGCATCTTTAAAAAAAGAAGCAACTTAGTTTCGAACATGCAGGGGTTCAAAGAAGAATGAGTAAAAATTAGAATGGGGAAGTGAGGTTTTCAAAGTGAAATTTACTCACTGTAAAGAACTGTTCTTTAGTCTGAAATCACATTCTTATTGTTTTGGATTAAAATTCATTTCTTCTCTGATTAAAAAAATTAAGTTGGAACCATATGTCAGCCTCTCTTCAATTTTTTTGTTCACATGTTTTCACTGCTCTGTGAAAACCTAAGGCCTGAAGCCACTGTCACAGAATGTCTAGGTGGGCTCTTTATTTTTGTCAACTAAATCACAAGAAAGCTGGGTGCCAATCTGGTAATATGTACCCAGAGCTTTAAAATGTTCCTCTTCTCTTTGATCTCCTATCAATATATCTAAGAATTTCTTGCCTACAGGAATAATCAAATACCCTGAAAGTGGCTTGTTGTAAAAATGTTTTGTTGTACAATTAATTGTAATAGCAAAAAACTGTAAACAATTTCAATGTCCAACAAGAAAGAAATAGTTAAAGTATACTATAGCTGCATGAAGAAATGCTACATGGCCATCAAAAATCACATTTTCAGAAAATATTTCATAGGAGAATGATCATATGATAATGTTAAATCAAAAAGCAGGATACAAATCTATAAATAGACAGTTCTATAAACAATAATGTGTGTGTGCATGTGTTCACACATAAACAATAGGCAGTAGAAAGAAACATGCCAAAAACGTTATCAATGGTGATTGATATGGATTGTGTCCCCCAAGTTTTATGTATTAGTAGCTTGATCTCCACTGTGACTGCTAAGAGGGTGGAAGATCCTAGTATGGTAATTGAAAGGTGGGGCCTTGAAAAGGTGATTAGATTCTGAGGACCATGCCTAGTGAATGGATTTAAAATGGTGGTAATGGCATGGTTCTGACGGCTTTCAGAGGAGCACATGAAGGATTAGTCTCTCTCTGTTCTGCCATTTTCTGCCATGTGAGACCCTTGGGTCATTGTCACCATCACCAAGGCCTTCACCAAATGTGTTCCCTGGACTTTGAACTTCCCAGCCACCAAAACTGTAAGCAATATATTTCATTTTCTTTATAAATCACCCAGTTTCAGGTATTTCTGTTATATGCAACAGAAATGGACTCATACAGAAAACTGACACCACAGAAGTAGGGTGTTGCTTATAACAAATACTTGAAAATGTGGAAACAGCTTTGGAACTGGGTTTTGAGGAGAGGCTGGAGGAATTTGGAGGAACAGTCTGGAAAATGCCTAGATGCTGGTAAACATTTAAAAGGCAAGAAAACCAGGGAAGGTGTTAGAGATTTGTTAAGTGGTGGTGAGCAGAATGCTTATGGAAATATGAACTGTAAAGACTATTCTAAAGAGGTTTCAGATAGAAATAAGAAGTTTATTGGAAACTGGGGGAAAGACCACACTTGCTATGAACTTGCAAGGAACTTGGCTGCATTCTACTCATGCCCAGAAGTTTTATGGAATGTGGAACTTCAAGGTGCTGACCCAGGGCATTTGGCAGAAGAAATTTCTAAGCAGAAAAACATTCAGGAAGCTGCATGGCTATTTACAACAGCCTACACTCAATTATGGCAGAAAAGGCATAGGGTAAAGCCAGAATAATTCAATAGAAAGGAGAGGGCAAAAGATTGGAACATTTTCAGCCTGGCCATGTGGTAGAGAAGCAGAGAGCATTTTTAGAAGAAAAATCCAATGGTGCAGTAAAGGAACTGGCTGCTAAAGACATTAGCATGGGGATGTATGGAAAAGCCTGGGGACCCAGGAAGAGATCTGTCGCAGGAGTGGATTCGAGCAATGCTGAGTGGAAACATGGGGTTGGGGTTGCAGTGGGGAAACCCCAACAGCACCATGCATAATGGAACCATAGGAGCAGGACCACCATGGAGACTCCAGAGTTGTGGAGCTACCAGAGCAGGATGCCACCCTGGAGGAGCTGAAGTGTGGCCTGAGACCAGGAAAGCCATTGGAGTAGAGCTGCCCAAGGACTTTGGGATCCAACCCCTGCACCAGAACATGTTGTCAAGGTACCTGATTCGCCAGCTTTGAGATTTAATGCCTGCCCTGCTGGGTTTTGGACTAGTTTGGGACCTATTACCCCTTTCTTTTGGTCTATTTCTCCCTTTGTGAATGGGAATATTTACCCTATGCTTGTCCAACCCTGGTTATCTTGGAAGTAGATACCTTGTTTTGATTTCACAGATGGAACCTTCAGACTTTGTTTGGACTTTTGAGCTGAAACAAGTCAAGAATTTGGGGATGGAATGAATCTACTATTTACCTGTGAGAAGGACATGAATTTTGG